CGGTGTACGCACATATGTCACTGTTTTGAGGCAAGCTGATGGACAACCAATTACTATTTCGCTTCACAAAGACTCAAAGGCAAGTGACTGGATAAGTAACTGAATCCCCGTATGGGCTGTTTATAAGAAAGTGGTCTGCGTTAGAAGCGCGAGCATTAGTCATTAGGATCGATGGCGTTCGGAGACATCGCGCAGGTGTACGATCATCCCGTCTTCCATTTTTGTAATGAGGACGAAAGTGCTATTAGAATTTCATCAGTCAGAAACGTTCCCATCTACCTTTGACTGAGAAAAGTTGTCGTTGGCGATCAGTTTGGGATATACGTAAGACATTGCATTGATGACTGAATCTGTTTTAAATTCGAATCCTAGATGCTCTTCGGGTATGATCAATCAAGCTTCATCTTACTTAGCCTGGAATCTACCTTAAAACACATAGTACGAGACTGCGAAGAGGTTTATTAACATTTGGATTTCGTCTTTGAGACTTGTCTAGGCGTGTAATGAGGCCAACGACATTTCAGTGTTCCACTGTGGAAAGTTGAAATCCGGTTCAAAATCACAGTATCTTTAACCTTTGCGATAAATTCTTATCTCCCCCCAAGGTTCATATCTTTGCGTAACATTTTTTCTGTCCACAACACGCTCTCACAGACTCTTGCCAATGAGGTGGATGGTCATAACCCCCTCTGGGAAAATATAAAACATTCTGCGGAACAACTTTTGGGTTCGAGCCGCGACCAGCCGGCCGAATCGCGCAGCACCATAAAGCGCCAACTTGATGCGACCTCATCGGCTTGGGATAGACTGCGTGCTGAGATGGCCAAACGCAAGGCTGATTTGGACGAATGTCTTGAGTCGGCCCAGTTCTACGCAGATGCCGAGGAGGCCAAACGCTGGATTCAGGAGAAGGTCACCCTGATCGAAACCGCTGGCATACTGACCAAGCCCTTAGAGAGCCGCAACGATCTAGATCGAGCGCTCAAATACTGCGGTGCGAACTCCAGTGCAACAATGGTAAGAAAAATTCCTCACCTTAATTCTCTGTTTTAATGGATTCGTGAAATGATTATGGCATTCGCAGAGATCTTTTCTGCCTCTCGATATTTCTAACCATCTAAGTATGCGCGTGCCAGCGACCTATCGAGCCAGATAACACAGCAAGTGCAGTCCTTGAAAGCATGTTTCCAAGGCCACTCTTTAATATATGGCTTCCTGATCCCAGCACCGCATCACTCTTAGGGCTAATAACCGCTGCCAGATCAGCTAGCGTGATCATAGATGGTTTGCCGTCAATGTTAGCTTTTCGTCACGCCGAAGCCATTTTGTATGTTTGCAGGAAGGAAAAGGTGAACAGATCCAAGAC